TTCTTGTAGTTTTTTATTTTTTAAAGTGCACTTACAATGTTTGTGTGGTTGTTTCTAACAAAAGCCGTCATAATTCATTTTTTTTCATGGCCATTTTCCAACCTCTCTTCATGCCTCAGAATTAAACAGATTGTTTTTGATAAACTGTCCTGTATTACACTTCATTTAAAAAGCAGCCTGCGCTGAAATGTGGAAGAAACAGTCCAGCTCGGACTGAAATCCTCAGAGACATGGGACAAACACATTTTAGCCAGTTCTTTCAGACGTGTGGATGCTTTGGAAGGCCGCAATTTTTATTCATTTGCTTCCTGACAGTCAGGAACAGCACAACGTTTAATTAAGAGGTCTTTCAGGAGCTGAAATGCAACCAGAGTCAGTTTAAGGGGAGCTTAGCCACTTCTTATTTCTCCCATTATATCACAAACATGACTGCAAGGCACTGGAAACCTACAAGCGAGTTCTCAGTGAATGGGGTGAATGGAGCTGAACTGCTAAAAACAAAACATGAAGCATTTCTAACCATTTGTGCATGAACTTCCTTTAATTTTGAAACTTCAAATCAAAGAAAAACCAGTGTCTTTACATTTTTGTACAACAAACAGGTTTTGGGCAGGAGGATGCTAACATTACTGCTACTGGTTGGCGAGCTGAGCAGTTCATTGCCTGAGTGAAGCAGTTTGCACTCACTGGCGTCATTAATATGAGGCACCATTACAATGTTTGATAACTGGAGCTCAAAAGCACCTGAAAAGTGCACCACCTGTTCCAGCTCCATCCCTCAGGCCGGCACTTCAGCCAGATGAGGATCAGGACATCTAGGCTACAAAGGAGCTTCTTCCAACAAGCCATCGCTCTCTTAAACAGTTAATTATTACACATAAACAATATTCCAGCTTCTAAACTGCACTTCTAAAATACTGGTATATAGTATCAAACTCAACTCCATCCTCTCAAACTACCCATAAACCAGTGTTTATTCTAGCATCTTACTTACCTGCCATATTACCCCACTTATCTGACCGTCAACTCACTGACCCCTTCTTTGCCACTATACACCCTTTAACTGCTGCTGCACTCAGCGCTTTAACTTTAGACCCATACTTTGCACAATGTAAAGGTTACAGTTATGACTGTATGTGTGTGTGTGTGTATGAGTGAGTGATGGTAGGAATGCATGTTTTATTTATTTATTTATTTATGTTTTTTGTATTTTATTATATTGTATTTTATTGTATTTTATTTTATTTTATATGTATATTATTTCATTTTATTCACTACATGTAAATGTCTGTCTGATACTGTGCACTGTGAGCTCCTGTAAACAAAACCAAATTCCTTGTATGTGTAAGCATACCTGGCCAATAAAGCTTGATTCTGATTCTGATTCTGAGCTTGTGCTAATATATAATAGTGTTTAAATTTAATAGTAAATTTACTTTCATGCAATACATTTCAGTGCACAGAAGCTTTAGCTTGCTTGTAGCTTGTATGTAACAGTAGTGTTGATTTTGTAAACACCATTCATTTTGTCATAGAGAAACCCAGCTTAGACTCCTAATGTGTTCCTAATATGGACATGACACAAATCACACTATGACACGACTTCAGAATTGCACACTACGACAGAGGTATATATCCCAGATACAGTCTGCCCGCAGTAACAACACTCCTTTTCACTTCAGTGCAAATGGGTGGGGCCTAACTGCTGGGTGGTCATATGTTAATGTGCTTAAGGTTGTGGACTATCTAAATAAAGGCCTTATAAAGGCCATCAAACGTTCTTATTTCAAAAACAAGTAAACTTCAGTTTCCCATGACATGAGCCCTTTAATATCCCAAAGTTGGAACAGTGTTGTGGCTATCAGTGCATGATGGTGGGTTGAACAAGACTTTGCTTGTAGGAGATTTTCTCTTCAAAATAGCAAAGAAGGAATGCGAAAGAGGGACCACCAAGATTCTGAATGTAACACATAATAACTCACACCTGGCATTCATCTCAGTAGGTGCTGGCTTCAGATCAGGCTACATTTTTGTACCACATTTAAAGCTGTTTACTGTTAAATCAGTTTGAGGGATTAAAAACATGAAGTCGTGAGCTTGGCTGTGCTGTTGTCATGGGAATCCGCAGCCATGTCCACATGGGGGCCCAAGCAGCAGGATGTGTTGATTTACACACGATTTTCATTACTAACAACACATACCACAAATGGGAAATCAGTCTTTAGTATTCCAAAACATCACCACATCAAAACGGACAAAATAATACGCCATCAGTTTTTCTCAGAAACTGAGCGTCACACACAGAGAAAAGCAAAAACAGTGTGTGACAGAAGTGATGCTTGTTTGATAGCAACATTTTTTTTTACACCAATCAGGCATAACATTATGACCACCTCCTTGTTTCTACGCTCATTGTCCATGGGGGCTAACAAAGTAAGCAGAGAAACAGATGAACTACAGTCTGTAACTGTAGAACTACAAAGTGCACCTATATAGTAAGTGGAGCTGATAAAATGGACGAGTGTAGAAACACGGACATGGTCATAATGTTATGCCTGATCGGTGTATTTTCACAGAGTAAACACTGCGATGCCTGATGGTGTCGGCTCACAAATTCTTCAAAGAGAAAAACTAATCATACCTTAAAGGGGCTACTTCAGTAAAGCAGAACAAACACAACAAGCAGCGACAGGCAAAGACAAGAAATGGAGATCAAGATTTAGTTCCTATCAGACTCCTGATGGATTACTCTCAGTAGTGAAGTGGACTAAACCACCTACTGTATAGAAGGCCTCAGCTCTGCACCCACGCCTAGTGTTTCTGGAAAGTTAAAGCAGAATTCCACAGCTGGAATTTAATTTTTTTCTGTATAATTAAATGGATGAGATGTAAACAAACTCATTTGGAGTGGTTTGGTGTGAAATGCTCTGTTCTAGAGAAACTTACAGAGTCAGATTTGTTCACAGTGGTGGTGATAGGAACCAGACGTCTAAAGAGTTTAATGCCTCTAAAAGCTCCCTTACAGAAAGTTATTATATGAAATAATTGCAGATACATTTCTTGAGTGTTGCACTATTTAATGTTTTAAAAATGGTTTAGGGTTACCTGCAGGGCGTTGTATGGCAGAGCAGTACCCAAAGAAAACTTTTCTAATTTACTGCCATTTTACCATCATAAGCATTACATATAAACACTCAGAAGACACTTTTAGGTTCACTGGTGGTTTTGGATAGTAAATAAAATGACTATATTTGTGTTGTAGACATTGTGACCCCTGGTTCCTATCAGCACCACTGTAAAGAAGTCTGGGTCTGCAAGTTTCTCTACAATGAACCATTTCACACCAAACCACTCTGAATGACTTTGTTTAGTGATGAGTGTTGGTGCTTCATAGAACTATTTTCTTTGCTAAAGAACCCCAGAAGAACCATCTTTTTTAATGGCTCTAATGGTCTGTTTTCAGCAGGGCTTTCTGAATGACTTTGTTTACATATTGTGTCAATAGAAGAACCCTTTTTGGTGCTATATAGGATCTTTTTAAAAAGGCTCTGTAAAGAAACACCTGCAGCACATTCTCCATTAATCTGAAGAGCGCTTTCATAATGCAAAGAACCCTTTAATCATGCAAAGCGTTTTTTGAGTGTTGGTGCTTCATAGAACCATTTTCTTTGCTGAAGAACCCCAGAAGAACCATCTTTTTAATGGCTCTAATGGTATGTTTTCAGCAGGGCTTTCTGAATGACTTTGTTTACATCTTAACCGTTTAATTATGCAGACGTTTTGAATAAGCACTGAAATGATCCAGCATTAGCAGTGGTGGACAGTAACGAAGTAAATGTAATTCATTACTGTACTTAAGTACTTTTTCATGTATCTGTACTTTACTGAAGTATTTCCATTTTTGGTGACTTTTTACTTTCACTCCACTGCATTTCAAAGTCAAATATCTTACTTTTTACTCCACTACATTATGCAAAATCAGTCGTTCCTTTTGGCTTATGTGTGCATAAAAACGCAACATGTTAAAACAAAAGAAGTGCAACGCAAGAACACCAATCAGGGCACAGAGCACACTTTGTTTCGAGTTTGTTTTGACCTGTTGGACATTCTGACCCAGTGCAACAGCATAACATTTTAGGAGTGCCTATTCCTCCCTATAAATGACGGAACTAACCTAACTTTGTGTAAATACACTACTATATAGAAATGCGCTTCCACATGCACTTGTAACTGGCGTGTGTCTTTTTTCTGAATTTGTACAAACACTATTTCATGTTATAGTAAATTTGTTTTTGCTAGTTTATGTTTATGAACAGAGACCTACAGATGCAATATAAAGGAAAGAGTTATTTTTATTACATTTTTATTAAACTTAAACTTGTAACTAAGTTTATTAAACTGAACCTTTGCTTGTTTACAAAAAGTTATTTCAGAGCCACTCGGTTCTACATAATGGAAATTGTTTGCCTTCAGTGTTTTGTGCTTATGATAATTTTAATAGACCTCATTAATGACATTCTATTAAAAGATTGGTTGTCCAAGTGTGACACTGGAGTATTTTCACCTAAAATGAGTTAATGAAGCCAGAGTCTTGATATAAAAATGATAATAGGACATTAGAGTTATGATGAATCTTTCAGTACTTTTACTTCTGATACTTAAGTACATACATACATACATACATACATACATTCATACATACATCTTCTAAACCGCTTATCCTTCTGGGTCGCGGTGGGGTGCTGGAGCCTATCCCAGCTGTCATTGGGCGGAAGGCAGAATACACCCTGGACAGGTTACTTAAGTACATTTGAAGGCAAATACTTTTGTACTTTTACTCAAGTGGAGGTCTAAAGGGAGGAACTTTTACTGGAGTAATATTTTACCTCGGGTGTCTCTACTTTAACTCGAGTACATGGTTTGTGTGCTTCCTCCACCGCTGAGCATTAGTGAGAAAGTCCTCCAGGCGCCGCTTCTCTCTCCAGTCCTGCAGGTGGCGCTCTGGTTGAGTCTGAATCTGAGGAAGCGCCTCTCGACGGTTCAGCCGGAGTTAACAGCGACCAAAACGGAGATTTTCGGCCAACAAAACAGCGAAAACGGAGCCATGATGTGAAAATATAACAACAGTGCCTTACAGCAGAGATATTAAGGTAGTGCTATGTGTTTGTACGCAGTGTGTTAACGTGTTTAACCGAGTGTAGGGAGCCGGAGACCGTTAGCGGGACGAGGGTGAAGTTCGGGTCCTGATCTCCAGCTTCGTGTCCTGATTTTCCCGGTCCACCTTAAGTGGTGCAGCAGTAAACATAGCTGCGGCTCCATTTAAGGTGGAGCGGGGAAATTCGAACAAGAAGGTGCAGAATAAGAAGCCAGCTTCAGCTTCGTGTTAGCAGACTGGCTAATGACCTGGTTAGTCTCAGCTACGCGCTGCTAACTAGGCTAAATGCTTCAAATGCAGTTAAAGTTATTCAGACTTTAGGTTTCCAAGGTGTTTGTGGTCCAATAGCGTAATTACGCTGTAATTACATGTCTTAGCCCTCTAACTGGATAGCTTTGTTTTCGGTTAAACTTGGCTACAAACTGTTAAAGGGGAATTCCAGCGATTTTTCAATTTTTTTGCGTAATTCAGTGCTTAAGATGTAAACAAAGTCCTTCAGAGTGGTTTGGTCTGAAATGGTTCATTGTAGAGAAACTTACAGACACAGATTTCTTTACAGTCGTGGTGATGGGAGGAACCAGGAATCACAATATCTAACTACAACACACGTAATGTTGTAATATGCCACATTATAATAGTAAAATAGTGTCAAACCTGAAGGTTTTCTTTGGTGACTAGTTTGCCTCGCAACACCCTCTCAACCATGAATGGATTAAATAAATAACATGACATTTTAGGCCAAAACATGGTCAAAAAAGCTACTGTAAATCTCCAGGGCAGCTTATTCCTAACCAATTCATGTAATAGCTTTCTGTTGGGGAGCTCTAAGAGGCATTAAACTCTTCAGACCTGTCACAAGCACTGTAAACAAATCTGACTCGGTATGTTTCTCTAGAACAGTATTTCACACCAAACCACTCTGAGCAAGTTTATTTACGTCTTAACCATTTAATCATGTCGAAATTTTGAAAAGTTGTTGGAGTTGCCCTTTTAAGTTGCTGATGTTACTGATATAACCTACACTCAGATTTTCATATTGTTTCCATTTTACCCTTGCACATATTAGCGATATTAATGCCATGTATGTTGTAAGTGTAGATAAAATAGTTAGATCTAATGCTCATTTTTCTTAGCTAAAAGTAAAGGGTAATAAGTTAATGGTTAAGATGTAAACAAAGTCATTCAGAGTGGTTTGTTGTGAAATGATCCTTTTTAAAAGAACTTGTAGAGTCAGAATTGTTCATTTTGTGGTAATAGGAACCAGACATCTGAAGAGTTTACTGCCCATAAAAGCTGCAGCACAGAAAGTTATTACATGAAATGGCTAGGATTTCAAAAGACATGTAGGTTCACTTGTCATTTTGGATAGTAAATGAAATGGCTGTGTTTGTGTTGTGACCCCTGGTTCCTGTCACCACCATTGTACTGAACAATGCATTTCATTTCAAAACAATCACTGTCTTAATATTTTTAGACCTTGAACTATGCAGTACTTTTGGAAATCTGGTGCAATTCCCCTTTAATTGCTGATTTTCCCTCATTTCTCACACACTACACGCATTGCATTTTATATAAGAAAACTATGTTAGCTCCTGTGGTCATGCGAATGCTTTTCTTGTACTATAAAAAGCCTTTACTTTAGCAATACTGACTTGTTTTTCTCTTCAGATCATCGTCTAGGTGGCCTAAAGGAGGGACACACACTTCGGTCACACAGCGTGTGTGTGTGAGAGTGAGATGGAGCAAGGCGTGGTGGACAGCCCTGTCATCCTGGTCATCAAAGCACCCGATCAGAAGTACGATGACCAGACCATCAACTGTTTCCTGAACTGGACGGTGGAGAAACTAAAGACTCATCTTTCCAAAGTTTATCCCAGCAAACCTGTGAGTGAACACCTGCTGGTCTTGGTCATTTCAGTAAAGATTAGTAGAGATGAGAATCAACCGGTACTGTCTGTGTGTATATATCGCTGCTTTTGGGACAAAACCTTGTGTGTCCATTTTTATCATTTTTCAGTATTTTGACATAATTTGAAAATGCCTGTTGCTCTTTACATTCTGTATAAATTTAATGATGAATGGACCAAAAGAAACGGCCTAAAATGACTTTGGAAAAATTCTAGTTCCATAGACTTACATTAAAAGTAAAGGAGGTTTTTTTCCTTCTCTTGTAAAGTTCTCATTTTGAAGATACAAGGTTTTGTTCCAACAACAGCGATATATTCATTTAGTTGAATTTCCGAGTGAAAATAAGTTACACATCCTCTACAGAGAGCAAACTTCTGCACATTTTAATTGCAGAATTGTCGTTTATTTGCTGAATTTAACATATTGGGGGAAAAATATAGAATAAAAAATGAGGCTTGTGAAGCAGTTACAGCAGGTTTAAAATATTTTTTTGCAATATTTTAAAGTTAAGAAAATAAAATGCCATAATTAAATCCTCTGTTGAGATTGTTTTAACCTGACATGGGCTGTTCAAACGACTGTATACATAAGCAAAAAAGACTGTATAACACACACACACACACACATATATATATATATATATATATATATATATATATATATATATATATGATATATATATTACACACACACACACACATATGCACATACATGCGTGTTTACTCTGAAATGTATATTTTTATTAATAGTCTAGGTTTAGTCTTAATCTGCATCTGAGAAACTGGTACATTCTGTATACCAGTAGGAAGTCTTTTACTTTAAATGTTTTTTGTCACATTAAACATATTCTGATAATATTCAGTGATAATTGTTATGGTATGATATGAGAAAGGTGGCATGAAAAGTATGGCGAGTGTAGAAAAGCTGTTATATTAAACGGACTGTAGCTCTGCACTGTTGATTTAAGTGTGTCCATGAGTAAACTTGTCATTTTTCCATGGATAACAGAATTACAGGCAACTTAAAAATTACTATGGCAATATATATATGTCTGTAATAAAGTGTTGTTGTGTAAGCTGAACTGGAGTGACATTAAACGGAACAGCAGACTGGAACAGATCCAGCCTGAGGAAAGAAGGCAGCCAGAAAGAAAAGCTGGGTTACTGTAGCAACGACTTGTACTGACAGCCTGGATAAAGAAAAAAGGGGGGCCGGAGAGAAGGGCCTGGATGGGGGACGCTGTGGACTGTAGCTTTTACCGTGGTCACATTGATGTGGAGTAAATTTTGTGTCTGTGGCTTTCGCTCCAGGTGATGGAGAGAGGGAGAGTGAAGTAGGGATGTGGTTTTGAAAGTAGGTGAGAGTTTATGAAGTGTAGGGGTATGAAAGAGTAATGAAAGTGGAAAATGGGGGCATGACACATGGCTATGTTGGGGCCTGTCAGGGCTATTTAAGAATAAAGCCCCTGCTTGCACTAAAGAGAAAAAGAGAGAGAGAGAGAGAGAGAGAGAGAGAGAGAGAGAGAGAGAGAGAGGTCACAATGTTCTGACTTTTGTTCAGGTCCATAGTTCAGTCTTTCTGGTCTTGTTTGTTAATTCTTAAATAGACCACATAGAAAGTGTATTATGTAAGAAAGCACTGGCTGCCATAAAGTCTTCCACAATCCAGTGTTAAGGCTAAAAACCTCAGTAGTATAACAGACCACTGATGCCAAAATGTACTCTAATTTTTAAGATAATGCCACTGCAGTGGAACCCAGTGGCCTGTTTCTGAAGGAAAGTTAATTGTGATCTTTGTCCAGCCTAATCTCCTGATGTCATGTAAGTCTTCTTTATCCACTTAAAGATCAGCGCTGAGGGCTCTGTAACCAGGCCATGCCACAGTTTCAGTCTTAAAAGAGTTCAATCTTAAAATGCGAGTGAAACCAAGATTTTATAACATTTTAGCGATAATGTGTTGTTTCTGTCTCTGTTCTTATTACTGTCCTTTAAGCTGAGCTTGTTTGTGTTGTGATTGTTCATCTCTTAATGGTCTGTGTTGTAGCGCTCGAAGGATCAGAGGCTGGTCTACTCTGGAAAACTCCTGCAGGATCACTGTAAACTGAGAGACGTGCTCAGAAAGGTATTACAGCTACTGGTACTGCATTACTGTTACTGTATCTAGCAAAATATTGATCAAAATTTGCAAATTTTGCCTCATCTGAGGCTGAACTAAAAATTATTTACATATGAATCTTAGAGGTACAAGAGTCCTCTCTGAGTATAGACAGAGAGTATGGAAGGTTTTATCGCTCAATGCAGCAAAGAACTGTCCCTTTGACAGGCAGGGGAACTTTGAGTGACAGGCAGATAGACTCATCATATACTGTGTAGAGGTCACAACAAAAACAGATGCACATATCAGTGTTGTTGTCAAGCCTGCCAGAGCCAAATCCGAGTTAAGACCGAGACCTGGACACATCGAGTCTGAGTCAAGACAGACAGTCACCATATATCTATATATATATATATATATATATATATATATAATTTTTTTATTTTAACGTAATTTAATTAATAAATATTATTGTATTATAGTATTAGTCCAACTTCCAGCATTGGAATTGAAAGAAAGCAATGGTAGGGTTATTCTCTGTCCCTCCTTCTCTGAAACTTATTCAGAAGTCACCTGAACATAAACCAAACAACATCTGTTTTTATTGTTAATGGAAAAACAATAATAATAGCATTCCAGTCTGCCCTCAAGTGATGTTCAAACTTTGGAGCTAATGAACAAACACAAACAAATAATACCCAGTTAAGCCATCATGGAAATGACCATTCAGATGATCAACCAGCCGATTTTATTTAAACATGTAGAGCAGTTTTTCAACCTGTGGGCCATGGTGGTACTTCTAGGGGGTCGTTGGAAATCAGTTTTTTTTTATATCGCAAAAAAGAGACATTTATAGTCATTATAGACATTTAACCAAACATTATTTTACATATGACAAATATTGTTGAGTATTTGCAAAAATAAAACATATTAAGCTCATTGATTGTTCTGGCAAAATGTTAGCTAGTGATGTTCATATTTCCAGTGCAGGCGTAACAGAAAGAATGGAATACAGCAGTGAAAATGTGCACGGGAATTCAAAACAGATAACTACTGCTCAGTGCTGTTTGCTCAGGGGTCTTTCAAATAAAACTTTGAAACCCAACAATTTACACTGAGTCTTAGAGACTAAATGTCATGAATAGGTATCTAAACCTGTCGAATTGAGCCAGAACTGCTGAAGTCCAGCACTCGGTGACTGCCAAACAAGATCAGCTCTCATTAGACAAGTCAGAAAAAGAAGATCAGTTAAATCCTTTTGACCGCGGAAGCTTTGTGGTTGTTTGTGTGGCCGTGAGTCGCAAAAGTTTGGGAACACTGATACAGAGAAAGGACTGTTTCATTCTGTTTGAAGGTGTTTTTGAAATTAAATAACAGCAACAGAAAATAATTTCCAGTTACTTCAGATGGAGGCATCTCACACACTTGGCTGGTCTCTGGTTCGCTTTACCCCGAAACCGAGACAAGACCGAGACCAAAGGATGTTGAGACAGAGATGAGACCAAGACCAATAGTTTATGTTCACGAGGCTGGTTTTGAGTACTACAGCAAATGTATAAACAAATAAGCATGGTGCACAACGGCTTAGCAACTACCTGGAAATGCTGAGCTTCAAACAAAACATTTGAATAACTTTTAAGGATGGGATATAATAAACCTTGCAAACTTTTTCAGTCTGGCGACTGTCTTGCTCTAAAAGGTTCATTATTGTCATGGTGTGCACTGAAGGTAACTACTGGTAACTATGGAGTATTTAGCTTTATAAAGAAAAGTTTTTTTTTAAAAAAGCAAAAGTTTTTTTTTTTAAATGGTATTTTTGTTATTGCAGCTGACTAATTTGCCATGAAAGCTGTTTCTGTTAAAATTTAGTTTATTATGAATTTAACACAATGAAAATTTTATGAGTGTGTCATGCTGTTCATTTTTACTTATTCCTTGTTTTTATGTTTAAATTCAGTTGAAATCACTAACAATAAAACTGCAGTGTAGCCTGTATGTAGGTATTTAAAAAAACAATATTGCATGTATAGCCTTTTTTTTTTACAGAAGATGCTTTTACAGCTTCTGTATAATCAAAGGTTCAGGTTTATTTTGGACAGACCGTCAAGAGCAGAGTGTAGAATGCATTGTGTAAGTGGTGCATCACAATAAATAAAAGCTGTGCAGAAGAGTGGTGACTGTGGAAGCCCATTCCCGCCAGGTCACATGTGATTTAATTTTTTTTTTCCTCCTCTGTTTCACCACCAATATGTAAAAAACTTGACTTAGTGTCTTGAAATAATTACTTATTTCCTAAAAAAAATATCGACTTACTATATCAAAATAGTGACTTAATATCTCATAATAATGACGATGTTGAAATAATGAGTTTCTCACAATATTCACTTATAATGTCATAATAATAACCTGATATCTTGTAATAAGGATTTATCATCCTTAACTAATGGCTTCCTTGAAAGCTAAGATCTGCCTTGTGAATAAGTCACTATTTCAAGATATTAAACCAATATTTTCTGATATTAAATGAATGTTTCAAGAAAATAGGTTGTTTAGTCAGTCAATATTTTAGGATACTAAGTCAGTATTTTAACATATTAAGTAAATATTTTGAGAAAAGAAATCATTGTTGCTGAATTTAACATTAACATTAATTAACTGTTAATGATGTCAGAGGAAAATAAGCAAAACATACGTTCTTACACTGGAGCTTAATGTAATAATAATTGTAGTGTCTTGTTTTCTGAAGCACTCTTTTCATCAGCAAAGTCAGTACCTACTTTTCTTGAGGCAGCATGCTCTTAAGTGCCTTATTAAAGCTCTCCCTCTGCTGAGTTATCATCGTGAGCTCTGCTCATGTCTTTAGAATCATGCTGAGTGTTTTTCTTCTACAGCAGGATGAGTTCCACATGCTGCATTTGGTCTGTGCTTCCCGCAGCCCGCCTCCTTCACCCACAGCACACAGGAGAAACAGCAGCAAGAGCCCGACTGTGGTGAGACACACACACACACACACACCAGACAAAGAACTAGATCTACTAACACACTACAGACAGTAATACATGCATTTTCCTCATTCTTCTGATTCACAAAACTGTCCTATGACATCAAACCAGGCAGTAATTTGGGCACAGTTAGCCTATCTTGCATGGAAACAAGCACCTCCCCTTAGTCTCTTATGTTCTTATGTTTTGTTTGCCTTTTTATTATTTCGACTCAGTTGAAGGACTAATGAGCTAATAAAAATCCTTCTTTTTAACAACAGCCCTGCAGTCCCAGCAAGAAATGTGCTAAATGTTGTTTCAAGGTTGAAGTTGGCTTCTTATTTGGCAGCATTTTGTTTGAATTTTCAGTTCCACCTTAAGTGGAGCAGCAGTTATATTCTGGCACTTGTACAGACACCTGAATGTAACCCACTGCACCATTTAAGGTGAATCAGGAAATTCACACTGCTGGAATTTATTACAATCATGCCATCAGTACCAGCTGTTCAGCGGTTTATTGAGAGGCCCCAAGACCATCAGGTGGCTACTCAAGCAGTACGAGAGGAAGCACAGCAATGGATCTGGTGTTGATGTTAGGCTAAGGATAACTGCAAGAGGATTTCAATTGGTGTACCATATGAACCGTTATACCGCCCCACTACTAAAGCTGCTCATCAACTTAGTTTCATTTTTGATTACCAGACCTCATTTCCCATCATTTTAAATTCTTCTGCTTCCCTGTCAGAATGCTGACAACTCTGGAGGTGTCACCCCTGTTGGTAACGTCCAGTCGGCTTCCTCAGAAGAAACTCCTAATAGGCTGAGCCAGAATTCAGGAGCCGTTCCCAATCACCCATCCACATATGGGTAAGCAAGGTTTTTATTATGTTTTAGCCTAGCTAGGAAAGCCATGTGGTTTAATTAGGGATGAACCGAAATTTCTTTTGGTTTGTTTTCCGCCATCTTGAATTTCGGTTTCGGCCAAGAATTCTCATTTCTCTGCATCACAGTTTTTTACTCCTTTTTTGGAAGTGTGCAGTGCCTGGGAGATAATGTTAGTTATTTTGTTGATTGTGCTTTGTGCAGGTATGCATGGGGTCAGTGGTTGGATCAGCATGGGCCCAACGCACGGATGCCACACTACCCCATGTACAACCCCATGACTCTGCTCTGGTGGCAACAGCTCTATGCCTGGAATTACCATATGAGCTAGTAATTAACTTCTGGACTCTTCACACACAGACACACACAGTCACATACACTGCACATCAAACGTTTGGGGACACGTATCTTCTTTTGAGTATTGCTTGATTTTCACAGTTTTCGTTTAGGAAAGGGAACAAATCTGTAAAGGCTTGTTAACATAAAAAAGCTATGCACTAATATTTTTGGTATAATTATCTTCAACACTCAGCTTCATGTTCATCAGAGTGTCTTCTTTGAGATGAAGCGCAAGTTTTGCCTAAATAAGGAATTGACAGTTTTCCAAAAGCACATAAATATTTTGTCCCGAAGGTGGATTAAACAAATGAAAGAGTTGAGTGCAGAAACAAGGGGATGGGCTGTGGTCTTATTCTAAGGCTGCACTGTAACTAAAATTGTCACTAATATATAGTAATATGTAGACGTTTGGACAGCCATGGTCAAATGACATGTTTCGTTGTTTTTCTAAGTAAAAAATACCCATTCTGTACAGGGAACACACTTAAATGTGACACCTTTTTGCCAATTTTAATGCACAATTTCTATGTATTGAATTGAGTTTGAAGTTTAACATTATTGGAAAAGAGTAAAGCACAAAATATAAAATGTCTCCAGGCGACAGTGTTTTTTTCCCAGTATGTTAAATTCAGCAAATGAACAGTAATTGTGCACTAAAATGTGCAGAAGTGTTTTCTTACACAATTTATACTATTCTAGAAAGCATGTCATTTGACCAGGGACACCCAAACTATTGCAAATGACCGTATATGGGTGACGTTGTTTTCCCATAAATAAACAAATGTGTAAAGTAACCAACAAAGAAAGCATGCTCATTTGAAATAAGCCATTTTGAGAAATCAGACTTGATGGCCAGTGTATTCAGTAGTATTATCCTAGTTTATTATTGTTGTATAGTATGCTAATGTACTGTTCATGTACTATGCAGTAATGTAGTACTTCTCAAAGATGCTGGACCTTCTCACGCTCTCTTTTCTCTTTCTTTCAGTCAGGCGTGGGCCAGCTCCCTCAGACCATCCCAGCAATCAGCCTCACCTTCAGTCTCCCCTCCCAGAGAGGGATGGGAGCCTGTCCGAGAGAACCCTCAGAATGCCCCGGCTGGGGAGGGGCAAAACGAGGAGGATCTGAACCGTGATTGGCTGGACTGGGTGTATACAGCATCCCGAGCTCTCATTCTCCTCAGCATAGTGTATTTCTATTCGTCCTTCAGCCGTTTCGTCATGGTAACGGGAGGCATGCTGCTGCTGTACCTGTGAGCATCCAAACTCTTACAGACTCTGAGCAAAGCAAGAGACTTAGAGTACATAAACAGACACTTTTTTGGTTTGTTTTGATTTTTTTGTATCACAAGTACATTACTGAAGATACATTTATTTCCAGGTACTCTTCAAACAGAAACCGAGAAACACAAGACAGGGCTTTTTTTTTACTATAACATCCTTGCAGAGGGCTGGTTGATTAGCTGATGAATTAAGTCTGCTGTGTTTTTAAGTAGGAAAAACTAAAAAATGTGTAGTTCAGGGAGACTTTAGGGCAGGCATGTCAAACCGGGGACCTTCCAGGCCAAAGTGCTGTGGAGATTAGTATTAAACCTCATCTAACGCTCTGAATTCAGTTCACGAAGGCCTTGCTGATTAGCTGATGAGCTGAATCAGGTGTGTTTAAGGAGGAAGTGTGCTGAAGTCTGCAGTGTTTTGGCCTGTAAGGACTGGAGCCTGACGCATGCACTTCAGGGGGTATAACATGGGTGTAAAGGGGTGTGGCTACCTCTGTCCATGGTACTGAAAACCAGGTTTTTGCTCATAATAAACGTAAATCTCACTTTGTAGCTTGTGGATATTTCATTTGTTAGGTGGTTTTTCTTTTTAGGTTAGGCACTTCTCAGAAATCTTGTGTGTGTGGGTGCTGCATAATCTCTCTTTATCTCATTTACAGGCATCAGGCAGGCTGGTTGCCCTTTAACCTGGAGAATGAGCTCCAGGATCTCGCTGACCCGGCCAATCACGATGAGCTGAACGCAGAGAATCAAAATGACCTGCAAGACATGGTGACTATTTTTAACTCTTGACACTGCCTGCTATCAAGTTCTGCAGAGTAGCATTTCTTTACTTAGCACTTACATGCAGAAGTGTTTCACCAACTGCTCATACAGGACTCAGATCTTTAGAGAGCCGGGGCTTATAGCGTACAACTTTCAAAAGATTTATTTACTGGTTTACTGGTGGTCCCTTTCTACTCATAAACAGCCCCCTCAGCTGATAGATTGTGCAGCAACAGATAGCCTACAGTCAGTTATTAGACAAACTATAAAGTGCACTTATATGGCAGGTGTAGAAGAATAATAATAATAAATCTTTATTCATAGAGCACTTTTCACTTTGATCTCAGTGTGGGTTATTCTCACAAATACGACAAATACTGGGATCAAACTTGAAAAAGTTAAAATGACTAAAATGAAATATTTTTCTTTTTTGGCTATACAAACAATGGTGCCTAGTTTAATGATTAAAAAATAAACCTAAATGAGTTGAGTAAATGTTTAGTTACATTTCCTAATTTAAAACATTTTCATTACTGCAACATTGCCAGATTTGGAGATAAATATATAAATAATGTTTTTTTCTCAGCAATTTTTGTGATCAGTACACTGTTGTCAGACTAAGTATTACTAAGTAATTATGCATTACAGAATTTTATCTCATTACTGCAACATTTTGACAGCCATTCAAGTTTTTCCTTTTTACGTGTATCACAAAACATTTGGTTAAGTTCATTTTACACATATAACATTAAAGGGATCTGACAGTTACCTTTGTCTAATAAAATGGTGAATATCAGTAATAAGAAGCAGATATGTGGGCAAGAAATATTAAAAATAAATTAGAAAAATGAATAACTAAACTTTTTCTTGTATCGTAAAAAGCTCCAATTTATCTACTAAATCATATGAATGTTGTTTATCTGTGTGATGATTGAAACTTAATTTATGGACTGGGTTTGAAGCTGTGAGACTAGCCCATGTGCTTTACACAGGAATAGGTAAAAATCATTGGAGGCATTAAAAACGAGCCGTAGTTACTCTAGGCATAGTTTAGGAACTCTATCAGAAAATGGTCTTTTACCAGCTGAGCTGTATGAGATCCTAGGAGTTTGCAGTCAGCTTCCCTCAGCTTAGAGATGTGGACTGGACGAGTTAACAGATCAGTAAGATACACTAAAGCGCTGCCTTTAAGAGCTTGTGTCATAGCAAGACCTTGGAATCAATGTGGAATTTAACAGGGAGCCAGTGTAAACTGAATAAGACTGGAGTATCATGTTTACTCTTTTTCTTCCTGGCAAGCATACAGGCAGCTGTGTTCTGAACTAGCTATTTAGAGAGACAGCAGAGCATCCACACAATATGGCCAGGGGCCATTATTCATCAGTTGTGTATGGTCAAACCTGAGCATAAAATGAGTGCACACAAATATTAAGGAGTTTTGTTATTCATTAAGTTCATCTTCGTGCAGTCAAACTCACATTTGGTAGAAGTGTGTGTAAATTTCAGCATCACAGTTTAACAAGCTGATAAAATATGTGATTTGCTGTTAACTAAACTAAACTAAAACTATTGTCAGCATCATTTAAAATAGCAATAGTAAAAATACAAATGGAAAATAACAACAGTACTAATAAATTGTGCACATAGCAATCAAGTACAAAAATTGATGTACTTATTTTACATGCACACACACATATAAACAAATGCTGCAGCTTTTCCATGTTCCATTTAAAGTCATATTACACTGTGTTTTTGTTTTGTGCTACTGACGCTACCCAGAAAACAATACAAAACACAGCTAGTGCATTAATACACTGTTTAAAGGGTTTATTTTAGGAAAGTAATCAGGCGGCACAGTTGCATAATTTAACCATTTTTAAAAAGCTGAAATTTTGTTTGTCACATTTTATTTTTTTCAATTGTTGTAATTTTAACACTATAAAGTTTGATCAGAAGGGGAACGGTGCACCCACTGCTCTACCTCAGACTTGCCTACGAGCCCAGGCACTGGCTCACAAACCGCAGAATGCTGTCATTTTAATAGCTGCTTGCCCACATCTGCATGAATTAGGGGGTGCCTTATGTAAATTATATGCAAATGAAGTGCAGGTAGGCTGGTACTTGTTTTCACTCACTGAGGCTGATTCATCATTTGCACTCAAATCTCCATTCGTTTCCACTTTATTTAACCATTTCATGATTCAAACTCGCAGTAGTTCATACGTCATTGTAGGAGGTTAAGTTTGTGCTCTTTTTTATGCAAATTTGATGAAGTAGGAAAAACGCAGAAATGTGTAGTTCATGGGGACCTTCCAGGTCAAGATGCTGAGGAGATCAGCATTTACCCTCATCTAGTGCTCTGAATTTACTTCGTGAAGGTCTTGCTAATTAGCAGGTTAGCTGACTCAGGTGTATTTAATGAGGCAGTGTGCTGACGTCTGCAGTGTTCTGACCTGCGAGGACTGGAGCGTGACACGTGCTTTAGGGGGTGTAACATGGGCATAAAGGGGTGTGGCTGCCTCTGTCCATGGTACTGAAACACAAGTTTTTGCTCATAATAAACATGTAGATCTCATTTTGTAGCTTGCAGACCATTTAGTGTAGGTAGAAGGTAGGTGTTTTAATGACCTGGCAATGCTTTTGTTCCTTATCTAGAAAAATGGTGAGGGTGAGGTTACAGGTCACTAGTGACCTGAAGAATGCATAAAAAATGTTGAAATTTGGGGTGGCAAAAATAGAAAAGTTAAAACTTTTAAGACTTTTTTTATGGTTCGTGAAATGTATTGTGATCTTTACTTTTTCTGAGGTTTGATTAGTTGGAACAGGCAACAAAGAACCAGTGGTGCCACATTTAAAAAGAAAATACTATTAAAATTATGAATCCAGTGATTTTTATTCAATATTCCACATATTATTCTGTATTAAATCCAATGAAAAATGTCTAATTATGCTCTCTGTAGTTGGTCAGTGTTATTTAAGTACTATAATATCCACAATATTTTCTGAAAAGCATACTGTGACATAAATAATCACGATAACGACAAATATTGTAATATTGGCCTCCCCTCATCATCATTCGCTCATTTGCTTTCTTTGCTTTTCTGTCTCGCTCACTCTGTTTCACTCTCTCAGGAGAGGCTGGCAGATGAAGGTGAGGAAGACGATGAACAAAGAGGAGAGGGAACAGATGATGCCGAGAGAGGAATGAACATGGGCTTTTTCTCATCTGCTTGGTCTTTCATCACCACGTTCTTCGCCTCCCTCATTCCTGAGGGCATTCCCAATGCAGTGAACTGACCTTGACCCTCGGTCTAACTTTGAACCACTCGTTCGTGCTCTCTCTCTCGCTTATACAACCGTACTTATACAACAGTACTGACAAACACTTCAGCAAGAGAAGAGCATATCTGGACAAACCTCATAAACCAGGTCAGTGATAGGACACTCCCTGAACAACCCCCCCACCCCCCCCCCACAGAACCGGTCAGTATTTCTGGACAGTCTGTGTTTGTGTTGTTTGAACACTTCACTGCAGCAGTGAAGGTTTTAGGCTCATCCCAAGACTGATCCCAAACCAAACAGACTGCTGTGAGTCTGAATACATCTCATTGAACAGGCGCAGCTTGGGTAATTTATCATGCAGGCTCATTTAAAGGAATAGTTTGGTCAGAAAAGCTAATGTTGCTAAAAATACATGAAAACCAACAGCCACCAGTTAGCATTGTGCAAATCGCATCATGCTAATTGGTTGCTGCTAGTTTCCATGCCCTGTTTGTTAGCCACCTTAACATGTTTGGTCAAGGTGTTTGCCTGTAAACTCGTTTGTACGTCACATTTTGTAGGTCTGTTTAGTATTCCTCTCCTTTTAACACATCACTTATAATGGAGAATCGTACAAAGAGCCTCAATGATCGATGGAGAACAAAAAAAAGAGGCTTTGCTTTGTATTTTATAAAAAGAGAAACTGTGTAAAATAATAAAAGCAGTTTTCCTTTCTTTTAACACTAGCACTTGAACGATTTTTTTTCCTGAAATGAAACGTTTTGGATTAAAAAAAAAAATCTTTACTTGCTCCTTTGCCAGCGACTCTGTTCTTTGATGATCAAAAGCTTTGGATTCGGCTGCGCATGCAAAGCACAGTGAAAGTTATTAAAGAACACAAAAACTGTAGTAGTTAAGATGAAAGACCTACAGTGCAGATTACCTGCAAAAGACATTCTTGTCATTCATGAAGCCTCCTGACTACAGTGAGTTTTGTTTTTGAGCAGCTGAAGAACGCATTATACACAATGTACACAATGTGTCCAAAGACATCTGGACTGGGTTGCAGCAGGTTTGCCTAAGTTAATAAGTTTAAGCGTAAAGTCTTTACTGAGTTCTTAGTTACACTAGTTAGTTTGAAACTGTCCTTTTGATTAATTTGGTTGCACCACAACTCCGTAAGTCATGTCTTTACTAATAACGACTAACTAATGCGTACGTCACTTTAACATGACGATAACCTGTTTAGAACCGATCTATAAACCCGCTGCCATGTTAAACTGAATAAAACCAATCATCTATGGCCACTGCCTGTATATTCTTTAACGTTTCCCTGAGAAAACCACATATGCAGCTTTGTAAACATTTTCTCACTATCCGACACATTTGTACAGCTAATGAGTCTCACTGAGCTGGAGCTGTGGGTGTTTACCTTCATGAGTTTAAACCACAATGATGAGCTGTAAGCAAAATCACAGCGTATAGTGTTTAGAATTTTTTGCATAGTCATGTTTTATATGATTTCTATGTGGTTTCTGATGGTGCCCCAAAACTTACACCTGTTCAGGGGGAGGTGTAAATATTTGGTCACTATTAAGCTCAACGTTAAAACTAGTTTGTGTGGGGCAACTGGTTTGGATTTAGTAAAGCATAAACCTGAACTTAGTAAACATGTTACAATTAGTCGACGTTTGAACATTTGCAGAGCTGGTGCAACCGGCCACTGGACGCCCCTTCTAATTAACTTGGCTACTTTTAGATGCACACAGAAGTTCAGTTGCACACACACAGCTTTTAAAATCTCCATAGAAAGGCTTTAACCAAATAACGGGACGCTCTGGAGCAGCCATGCATGAGCCTAACATCACCATGCCTGTGCCAAGTGTTGGCTGGGATGGGGTGTTGGGCTGTGAAGCAGTGGAACTGTGTTCTCTGGAGTGATGAAGCTCCATTCAGTACCTTTGGGATGAGTTGGAGCGACCCAGAACTGATCATCCAACATCAGTACTTCACCTCACTAATGCTCTCATGGCTGAATGCAATCCAATCCTCACAGCAATGCTCCAATATCTAGTGTAAAGCCTTCACAGAAGAGTAGAGGCTGTTACTGCAGCAAAGGAGGAACAAACTCTCTATTAATACTCTTCAATTCAGAAGAAACACTGGTTGAGCAGGTGTCTACAGACTTTTGGACGTATGCGTACATTTTCAATCAGTTTTAATATGTGCTTTGGCTGTGTTTAAAACATTAGTCCTAATCAGTTAATATTTATGAGTCAAAAGAGGGCAAGCCTGGGAGTGTTGAGCATACAGTGAAAAATACTTTGTTAATTGGGTGCTAAATGACATAGTCAGACATCCATTCATACGCAGGCTTTCATTCACGCCTTCATTCAGTCTGATTTATTGCGCTCTGGAGCTCCACACTTCATTTCGCAACGCCTGCTGATGAAAGAATCATGCTAGTTTTATTGTGGTGTCACCCAGCCCGGCTCTTTGAGAATGGCCAGCATTTTTCTCACCTGTCCTCACCAATAAAGAAAGGCTTTTCACACAGAGCTGAGAAAATAGCAGCAGAGGAGGAGTGAGCTTTTGTGAGGCTAAATGTGAATGCTTCGGCCCAATATTCCCAAAATTATAATCACAGTCTTCTCTGTTAAGGACGTCGGCAATTTGCAGTTCATTTACAGAAAATTCCACAAGGCAATTTGTGTCCTATTAAAATGTTGGTATAAACGTGGTTATACAAGTTGGTGACGTGTGCGCCGATTTGGACGTTTACGACATGCGATGTTTGTTTTTGCCGTCTGCATCATTCTTACTTAATCTTATTTTAAGAATGAAAGAATGACTCAGCGATGAAGGCCTCTTCTGACTCAGGGGTTAACATGTCCAGCACTGTGGCTAGAAGCCCTGTACCCTGTAGAAAGAGCCCTTTTCATTTTTTTAGTATGTAAACACTGGAAAGTTTCAAAACATACTGAGCTCATGCAGTTCATATATGGAAGGTAAGCAAAAACAGGCTGGTTTGAATTCGTAGCATTTTAATGTCAAAAACCAACACATACTATATAACCACCTATTCAGTTTACAGCAGTTAAGCTCTGACGAGTTGCACTGAAGTTAATGCAATATATGACAGCCAATCAGTACAGCGCTCATTTACATACATTGCGGTAACAAACAGCCTGTTTATTTCTAAGGAATAGAGAGAGTCATGTAGAAATTATTTACGACTGTTTTTGATGCATACTAGCACTCCTGAGTGGACCTCAGGTGCAAGAAATAAAATATAAGCAAAATGTATATGGGCCTTTTAGTAGATGCTTTACAATACATTCATAGAATAATTTAACATGCATTCATTTATAAATATTATATAAGTATTTTAAGAAATGTAACTGCAGTGTAATTTAGTAATAATTACAGAGGTTGGAAAAGCAGGACATTTTGGACATTGACCATTAGAATGGACCCAACAAAAGCATTCCTGCCATTCTCAAAGCCTTCTAAAGGGGGCACAATTAAGAATAACATGGGTACTTAGAAGTGTAGTTAAATCAAAATCTATAAATGAACTACAAATTCTTCCAGCGAAAAACCGCAGTCCAATTATCTGAATTGGTGTAATGGGCCTAATGCAGGTTCTGGTTAAAAACATGATTCAGCACAAGCCTACAGCACAGACGGGAAAGGTGGATCCCAACTAGATACACACCACTTTTATACTTCCTACTGGGCTTTTAGCACATTAACATTGAGATGTTGGGTGTGTATAGTATTTGTTGAAATATGCTCTACAGCAGGGGTGTCAAACTCAACAAGTAAAAGGGCCATATTAGGAAAATCTCAGCAAATCTGGGGGCCAGAAAAAAAAGTTTTTATTTAATTCTTAATTAAAGTTTTGCGACAACCAAAAACCAGCCGTTGTTTGCTCAAAATACGCAATAACTTTAACAGTAAAATATAGGCACTTGTAGACCTTAAAATATTACGTGAATACTTGAAATATTCAGTATTTAAATGTCTTCAGGAGCTCGGTCCTTTAAACCTACCTCACTCCTTAAACTAGACACCTGGCATCCTTTCTTTGCTGCAAGTTCAATAATTCTTGGGCTCAATTTCTGAGCTACTAAGCTAAAGTTAAGTGTCTATGTTGGTTGAACTGCAGCTAGTGTGTTTTGTGATATGACCAGTGTGGAATTATGTAGAACTGAGGTGTAACTGCTGTCCCATAGATTGTTGTTGGGGTAGGAAAGGCAGAGTGCCCGTTGCGTTGCAGTGCATGCTGGAGACTGTAGTGCAGGGCATTGTGAAACAGGCTTATATTAATAGAAAATTAAAATACCTTTCAGAGCCAGATAGGATTGTGTCACGGGCCTGATCTGGCCCGCGGGCCTTGTGTTTGACACATGGGCTCCACACCGATAGAACCTTGGTGGAAACATCGTTCTATAGTGTATGTATATGTGCCCATAGGAAAAAATCTTAATATCTCTGTGGAAGACAACAATACAATCAGATGGAAAGACAAAAGAGACTTTAGCTGAAGTCTCCTGCTGATCAGATATTCAGATATTTTCTCCTGAAGAGGCCAGTAATCTCACACATCTCTTCTTGAGTTGCAGTAGAGATCTTAGTAAAGCACCACATTGTGCTCAGATCTGCAGTGATAATCTCCTTTTTGTCTGCTGCGATTTTTCATGCAACATTTAAGAAATAAAATTTTCCTTTGAAGTGAGAAGAGATGGAACAAGTCCGATAAAACCTCAGATATGGGGCAGGTGATTTTAACATGTGGTCACTTTTCATTGGTCAGTGGCAGCCGAGCTGTTGGTTTAAACGATAACAATTAACCTCTTTTTCTCCAGGGTATATTCTGGTTTTCCATCTGAATTTACCTGACCAAATCATAAGGCAAATTATTCAGTAACTGCATTTACTTTTGTAAAAGCTCCCCTCAAATGAACAGAAAGTGTTTTATGATCAAACACATATTGCTATATGTTTACAATTTACTGCTGAAAGCCAAAAATTTTAGACGTTCTGTGTATTATTTTATAAAAATAATTTTTAAGGAGTACATCACTGTATATCACTGTTTATAGTTTATAGTATATAGAGTTCAGCTTCTTCTATTACAACGGTTTAAAATTACATTACCCATCTATTTGATTGGAAAGAAGACAGTTACAGCTCTCATATGACACCCACCTTTTGAATGTAGCTTATGAAATATGAAAGTTGTGAAGAATATGACGAAGTGCATTTTGGAACCACCGGTGGTCTCAAGGAGTTGAAGAGGTAAGCCTTGATCAGAGAGAAAGGAATCCTCCTCTCTGGGTCTATCTCTCTCTCTCTCTCTGTATCTATCTAAGTGTTATTCAGGTAGTATTCCTTTGATGTATTTCTCTTAATAATACATTTTGCCTGGTCTCATCACATTATTCTCTCAGTTGTGACAAATAACAGTCATTTCTGAATGAACCCATCTGTTACCTTAACTCAGGCATTCCTAAAGTCAGTTCTGGGGACCCAGTGTTTTGCACATCTGCATGTTTTTGTGCTTTCCCTCACCTGGCACACTTGAATCAGCTCAATAACTGATTAACAAGCCCCATGGCATGCTAGAGTCAGTCTACTAGTTGGTAGAGGTCAGTGTGGGATCACACCCAATAAAAAAAACACCTGCAACACAAATAAACCTCCACTACATAGAATATGTATTTTATTGCTTTTGTCCGTTATTTTACAAAATAGAACATTACTGTTTATTGCACAAATATATAGCAGTACATATGTCTTCTCTACTCCCTGTGCTTTGCTGTGCTCAGCTGTAAAGTCTCACTCTTGTGCAGGAGACTCTGCATCCTTGAACTCAACAAGAATCCTGCAACATACAGTGCTTTAAACCTTTCCTCTCATGAATTCAGACTTTTACTGAATACATCTCTAACAATAATTCTAGGATTCCTTGCTAAGTGATTAATATGCTTATTCTAGTGTTTCCATCCAACAGAGTCATCATTCTGGAGCTTCACTCAAGATTCTACCCCAATGGTCTGAATCCAGACCGGCCAGGGTTTCAGAACATCAGTCATGATCCAAGAACTTGACAGGATTCTAGAATATCAGTCTCTGTTCTAGAACATTGAGATTCTGGAGACTAGAATGTCAGGATTCTACTACAGCCTTTATTCTGGAATATTGGTCTGAATTCTGAAATGTTGGTCAGTATTCTAGAAGATCAATCAGGAGTCTAGCACGTCAGTCAGCATTCTACA